ATGTGTAGTTGTATGCACGTGTGCTATAATTTTGTTTATGTACACATGTAGTTGTGCATAGGTTGTTGTTCTGCAATGGATAGAAATGACCAAGACACTAGTGTGAAGGTGGCTGTCAGGTAATACTGTTTGTATAGTAATGATTGCACATTGTACTGTACTTGTACATGATGTGCATGTACAAGTATGCATGATTTGTAATTTGTATTATCAGCTTTATGTACTCTGCATAATCTAGAGGATTATGTATGTTGTACACACCTACTGTACATGTACAGTGTACATGTACAGTGTACATGTACATGTACTTCTCTACCAGTTTTTGTTACAGAGTATTTTTATTTGCATGTAAACAGTCCTTGTACATGTACATGTACCTTGTACATGTACATGTACTGTATATACAATTACATGTAAATATAGTGTATATACCTGTGTTTACTATTATTTTATTGTGTCATTTTTAATAGAATAAGACCACAGAATGCTAAAGAACAAGTTGACATGTGTCGTGTATGCACATTTGTAACACCTGGTGAACCTCAAGTTGTACTGGGAAGAGATAAAGCATTCACTTATGATTATGTTTTTGATACTGGAACAGAACAAGTTCAACTGTATACTTCATGTGTTGAGAAACTTGTTGAAGGGTAAGAATGGAATTTTGAATGTTCTGTAATGTTGCTGTACATGAAGCTACATATACACACATGTGTACAGTACATGTATGTACATGTTGGCCAGCATGCAATAATAGTGCTAATTAGTGGAATGATAGACATTTTGTGCTTGTGCTAGATGTTCATGGGATAGGGTATGTTTGTGTAGTTGAAGTCCAAATTGTGTTTTTTTGTTTTGTTGCAGGTGTTTCAGTGGCTTAAATGCTACAGTCTTGGCTTATGGACAGGTAAATCATATACATGTATCAATTTACATGCATAATTTATGGTAAATACAGAAATGCATGTACATGTACATGTATCTGCAGCTCATTTTAAATATTGTTAATGCTTTATTTTTTAGACTGGTAGTGGTAAAACATACACAATGGGAACAGGATTTGATGTGACTGTGTTACCCGATGAACAAGGTTGGTGGCTACAAGTTGGTTAAATCATACATGTACAATGAAAACTTAAAAGATATGTACATGTACATGTAGCTTACATGTACATGTACATGCATGTGCATATTCACGTATGTACAGTGTATTATACAACATGTATGTGACTTTTGTAGATTGTACATGTACATGCATCTGAGTTCTACATTTTGGTAATTCTATGTATGCATATGATTTATTACATGTTTAGGTGTAGTACCAAGAGCTGTACACCATTTGTTTAATGGTATTAATAGTCGTATTCAAGATGCTATAAAAGAGAAAAGAGATCCACCACAGTTTGATGTCTCTGCTCAATTTCTTGAGCTGTATAATGAAGAAATTATTGATTTGTTTGATCCTTCAAGAGACACCTCTAACTCTAAACGACTTAAAATACATGAAACACATGAGGGTATGTATTACATATGTATATATGTACAATGTATGTACATTGTACATGTTTGCTGCTACAAAATTACACTATTTGGCTACAGTACATGTACATGCACAGTGTGTTGCTTATGGATATATGCTTGTAATTTCTACATTACATGTACGCACATACATGTACATTGTACATGTACGTAGTGTAGCTCTATTTCCTTGGTTTATTTGTGTAAATACTTGTACATATGTATTTACTTGTAGCATAAAAATATGAAAATGTGTTAATTTAGCTGCATGGCAGATTTTGCTCACATGCTTGTGTTAATAATTCAGGTGTTATTTATGTTGATGGAGCTGTTGTTCAGTCAGTTAAAAGTGAGAGTGAGACTCTTGATGCTCTTAAAAGAGGCGCCCTCTCACGGACTGTTGGAAGTACCAACATGAATGCTCAGTCTTCAAGATCACATGCCATCTTCACAATCAGTGTGTCACAGAAAAGACCAGTGTTACAATCGGTAAGTATTGTAGAAAATTAGTTATTAAGATTACAAATGTACATGTACATGTACAAGTACAATGTACAGGGGTACAAAAGCAGTATAATACATGTACAGTACATGTGTATTGCACAAAATTCCTACATGTATTCAGCATGAACCATTCATCTACATGTACATGTATATGCATGTGTACATGCATGTAGTACATGTATGATGCTGTTGTTTATAATTCAGTTTGCTGTACTATAAATGTGTGCATTTACATGTACATGTAGCACTACCTTTATGCACAGGTACATGTACATTTTTGTTAATATTATGCTTTCCCATAGACTGATGCCAGTGATTCTGCTGGTTCTCAAGATTGGGAGACACTAACAGCAAAATTTCATTTTGTTGATTTGGCTGGTTCTGAAAGATTAAAGAGAACAGGTGCCACAGGAGAGAGAGCAAAAGAAGGAATTAGCATTAATTGTGGTCTGGTAAGCATTTGTACATGTGTGTAATTCATTAGTGGTATAAAATTGTGTGTTCTCACTTCTAGGTGTACATATGTACAATTAATGTATACGTAAATTGCGTACATCTACATGTATATTGTACATGTGTGACTATATATGTACTTTACACTCATACATGTACATGTACTGTATTTAGCCCATGCAAAATAGTTCTGAAATCATCCCCAATTTTTATTATATTATTTTTCTGATGTACTGTATATTGATGTCCTTATGCTACATGCATGTATGTAGAAAGTTTGAGCTGATTCCCAAATTCTGTATGTATGTGCGTCTGGGCATGACTGGGAAGCACGACTAAGAGGGGGAACCCCTTAATGTTGTATCTTCTTCCCAGTACATACATGTACATACACAAAGGTACCCATGTAGACACATACATGTACATTTATAGTTGCTGGCTTCATCAGTTTTGAAAATTTTCAACTTATTATTAATGCACTACATGTACATGTACGTGAATGTATGTGAAAGTGTAAGGACATAATGTTTTGAATAATGTACTTTACATGTACATGTATCTGTGTCTAAATTTGACATGTAATTGTATTGTACTATGAATTATGCATACTGTACTTGTATGTGGATTATTGCTACACAAACATAAGCAAAGCATTGTTACATACAGTGTATGTACAATGTACATGCACATATCTAGATTTTAATGTGAACAGTCATGCTTAAAAGCAAAAACAAATTTCAGAGCAGCTACATGCACATGTATTTCTTGAGTTGTCATGCTCTTTATTATTACCTTAAAAAAATATTATTCATAAAAATACAGTCCACATCAAAAAAGTTTAAGTAGGGTACAGTAGAGAAGAGAACCTTGAAGGTAGTTTGTAGGTACTTCCCTACTACTTCGCTACTCTTTGTCACTCTTCACTGCGTTATGCTGCAATCGCACCCAGTCACATGTACTGTAGTAGAACTTGTGGATACTTCTTTTGGCTGTCTGTACTCTCCAAGCTCATCTATAATGCCACTCTCTCCTTCTAGAAGCCTGTTTAGGATGCTTTTTGCTCCATTCTACTTTTGTGCTACTGTCTTCTCCTGTCCTGCTACTGTCGCAGTAAGCATGTGCAGAGTAGAAGCAACAAACTACCTACGCAAAAGTAGAGTAACTGCGGGGTAGCTACTTAGCCTTTTTTTATATGCACTGTAATTCAAAAATTTCAACCCTACTTTGCTGAAAGTGACAGCTAAATTAAAATCTACAATGACATAGTAGTTTTGGTACATGTACATTTAAATGTACTTAGGCAAAAACCCTTAATTAATGACATTTGTATTGATGTAATATGATGCAAACAATAGGAGATCAGTCAGAATTAAGATTCTTTTGTCATCCATTATCTTATGTGCAAGCTAGGACATGATGTTTGCCTATTTTTCAAATGATTCAATTTAATTTATTCTGCAAAATTGTTTAGTATGAAGTGATCAAACTGCACACAGGAAGTGAGATTAATCAATGTATGACCGTAAATATTGAATACTTGTACCACATATTAATACATGTATAACTACAAGGAACCTTTGGCTCATACCTGCTTGCTTTTAGGTTTTTAACTTTGAAATACAATGTACATGTACATGTAGTTAGACTACCGAAATACTGTATAGCCAGAAAATTTGGCAGAGAATTAAATTCGGCAGATTGGCAGTTTAAAATAAAACCGCCAATATTATAACCGTCAATAATAATTGCAATAATGGATGGATTCCATCATGAGCACATGACACTAAAAATGCTAAATTTGCAGTATTTCTAATTATTTCAGTCAAGACTGTGGGCAAGGACTGCCAAGGAGCAGCTTCAAAAAGAGCTGAGAGTGGTTAAGGAAAAGACAAGATAGTAAACCACCAAATTAAGAGACCACCAATATTATATTGAGGCAATTTTGATGCAAAACTATCAAACTTTTAGGCTGCCAAATTTTCCAGCTATACGGTATACAACTTACATGTACTTGGGCTTATTTAAGAACATTGGCAGTTAAATGTTTTTGTGTTGGTGAATACCTTCACAGTAATAAATAGAAAGTGTTTTAAACGCTTAATATTATTTGTGACCATAATTAACAAAAGGTGCCTTATGGCGGATTGCTAAATTCATCATTATAATTAAAAATATCAACCTTTGAGTGCTCTGTTAGACAAGCATTGTTTGTAGAAGTTACATAGTAACTTTTTGCATCCTGTGGTGTAATTTTATTATAAATGGAGCTCAGGAAGTTGGATTTTTTGGCTACAAAGACAAATTTTACTATCCGCCATAAGGTATCTTTTGTTAGTTATGGTCACATTTTGTCTTACTCTATCTGCTCATTTATTTGGCACTTAAAATTAAAGTTTCATAATAGCAACTGTAGCAACATCTAGGGACACTAATAACAATAACTTTAGAAAAGAAGCAGATAGCTAATCAGTGTTTATTTCTTAATATAAATCTCATAGTAACTGACAGGAATATCTTCATTGCTTGGGGGCTGATCAGAGCACACTCTCAACTCAAGGTTATCTGTTGTGTTGACATTTCCATAGTCCCTGTGAAACCATGGAAGACCAGCCACTGAACAGCAAGATGTTTCAAGAGAGCCACATCCCTCACCATCCCATAGTGGATCAGCTGAGTATAGAGTATATTGCCATATACCAGTATTTGATGGATTGCCAGATTCACAAAAGTAATTGTTTCCTATAAAAGATTGAACACTTGTGGTGCCATCTGCACATGGACAATTATTGGTTGTATCAGCAGTGCTTTGAAACAGACCAGCCATTAGTGTCCAAACATGTTGACGTGGAGACCCACGAGTAATACTGACACCATCAACATAATAAGAGTTTAAATTATTTTGTGCTCCATCAAATGAAATAGCATCTGGTGATCCCCACTGATATCCTGTTACTCTACCACACACTTGAGAGTAGCTGATACCGTTAGATGGAAATGAAACTGATGTGCAACCTGCATTGCTTGATGAAGGTCTTCCACAAGCCCTAACTCCTCCTGACTGGTAGAGTCTAAATCCAGAAGGACAGTTCTGTGTAGCATCAGTCATATCCAGATATGCTACTCTTGTCCACCCTCCTCCGGAACCACACAACTGTCCCATATTGCAGTAAGCATTGTAAGAACTTGTACCATCTGTAGCTGCTAGTACATACACACCAGATGGACTGTTGGGCTGTTGCTGTTTAATTTGCTGGCAAGAAGTAGGTAATGCACTAGATTCATTGTGTAACTCAAGCAGTTCTTGTGCTATTAGAAGTATGTCATCAACCACTCCAGCAGTAGAGGCACTGGTGTCTTGTAGATTAGAGAGAGTATTGACAATGTTAATGAGCTTTTGTGCAGAGTTTTCTGTAGTGTTTAGTATTTTGTCAATATTTATGGTATTGTTGACTGTTATCTCAGATTGGCTATCAACAATATTACGGATGTCATCAATCTTCCATGAAGTGCCTTCTGAAGTATTGATAAGTCTACTGACTTGATTTTGGAGATGAATTATTTGATACTGCATATCATCACTCCATTCATTGTAGACAATACTACAATTGGGGCCTGCATTATTTGTTGATGTCAGGGTACCACTAACTGGAAAGGACGTATTGATGGTGTAAGAGCAGTTGCATATTGTATTTCCTTTATCATTTGCAACATCTTTTGTTAAAATGGTTGATATTTGTAGACCAAGAATGGCAATTAGTAGTAAAATTACTGCCACAGCAAATGAAGCCTTTCCTAATACTGTAGCTTTTGACATAGTGGGTTGTTCCTTTTTGTTTACTGTGTACATTTCTTGTGGAAATTTTTGGTTATCATGATCATACTCTTGTAGCTCTGCCACTTCATAAAAGTTTTCTTTCTCCATAGCAATCGGTTTCTTTGTGAATAGACTCTAACAAGTAACCATAGCAACTGTATTGAATATTGTCATTGATTATTCATCGCTCACTTCAATTCTCTTGTCAATTGTATAGCTCATGTTGTGCATGTGCTATTATCTGCTGACCTTAATGTGAATAATGACTAGAATTATTAGGTTATAATGCAGTATAAAGTCGAAATTTGATATACAATATACATGCAGTAGCTGCAGCAGAGCAATGGTAGGCAGATTAATTATTTGACATAAATCTCATAGTAGGTAACGGGAACGTCTTCATTGCTTGTAGCTTGATCTGTACACACTCTCAACTCAAGGTTATCTGTTGTGTTTGTTTCCATAGTCCCTGTAAAACCATGGAAGACCAGCCACTGAACAACAAGATGTTTCAAGAGAGCCACATCCCTGACCATCCCCTGATGTATACAGTGTACTGTGATAAGTGCTTAGTAAGATTACCTGGCTCACAGAAATAGTTGCTGCCAATGAAAGGCTGTTGTGTGATTGATCCACCTCCACAAGGGCAGTTGTTGTGAATGTCAAAAACACTTTGATACAAACCAGCCATGAAAGTCCAAACATGTTGACGAGGAGACCCTCTTGTGATGCTGATGCTGTCAACATAGTAAGAATTTAAATTACTGTGCTGTGGATCACTGTGTGACAAGATATCAATAGCATCTGGTGATCCTCACTGATATCCTGTTACTCTACCACACACTTGAGAGTAGCTGAAACCGTTAGAGGGAAATGAAGCTCAGAGATGTGCAACCTGCATTGCTTGATGAAGGTCTTCCACATGCCCTAACTCCTCCTGACTAGTAGAGTCTAAATCTAGAAGGACAGTTCTGTGTAGCATCAGTCATATCCAGATATGCTAGTCTTGTCCACCCTCCTCCGGAACCACACAACTGTCCCATATTGCAGTAAGCATTGTAAGAACTAGTACCATCAGTAGCAGCTAGTACATACACACCTGATGGACTGTTGGGCTGTTGCTGTTTAATTTGCTGGCAAGAAGTAGGTAATGCACTAGATTCATTGTGTAACTCAAGCAGTTCTTGTGCTCTTAGTAGTATATCATCAACCACTCCAGCAGTAGCAGTACTAGTGTCTTGTAGATGAGAGAGAGTATTTACAATGT